ACACAGGTAACAAGGATGTTATGAATGCACTAACATAAAGAAAAGACATGCTTACCAAGACTGTTATCTAAGATGTAAGGAATGGGGAATTGCCATCTGTATGCTTTATCTATCAGAGCATTACGCCCAGGCTGAAACAGAAATGTCAAATCATGTTAATGCTTGTGTAAACATATGAATAGTCATGACAGCAAATAAAGGTTAATGAAGGTTTGAACAGAGTTAAATAGAGGTTTGCAGTATTGGAATTAACAGATTAAAAACAAGTATGCACATTACAGATATACCACTCTGAAGAGCTCAAATTTACCACACCTGAATCTTATTTAACATTGAGAAGCCCCTGAAAATCATCAGCACCTGGTTAAGGTGTGGTAAATGAGCTAAATTATACAGCGTGTTGTGTCAGAAGCAGATTGATCACTTGTATCCTAACATCCTACAGCAGAAACTTTTAGCAAAATAAAGTGAAAATACAGTACACACATGCCATATATCAATTACATATAAACAGGCTATAAATGTTCTTATGCAACAGCACTTGATCTAATCAATAATCATTAATTGTTGTTTCCTGTGAATTAGTGAATTACATTAAAAAGTTATCAAGATGTTCAGCAAGTTCAAAGTGTCAAACACCTAATTAAGAGATAAAACACAGCACATTATACTTATACTTACAGGCAAAGCCATGTCACCACCAACCAGAGGTGTCTTCACATCTAATGCAAAAATACCAGTGTGTTCATATTTCCAGCAGCACAGTGCACATATTTATACATGTATACATGTCTAAAGGGTTTTAGTGAATTCAAGGAACAGTAGTGAAGTTAGTTATGAGCATACCTTTATTGATGAAGGGGATGTCCCATCGCATGACCTTCTCACCATCAATAGCATGAGCTACAGTAAGAATGGAACGAATTAAAAACTTGGCATTTCCATGTTCTTTTTTTAAATATAAATAGTCAACTGCAAATTGTTATTTAATGGCAATTGGGCTATATGGTATGTATTTGTCTTATAGGTCCCATAGAAAGGAACATTTTATTTAGGCTACCTTAGCATAGTCAAATAGTGAGGCTACATGGAAATTACATATTGTAAAATGCACACTTTTTGTGTCCTCATTTTAAAGAAAAAAACAATATAGGTAACACAGAAGCATAAAAGGGGCAGACTCTAAAACCCCCAAAACTGTTAAAGAAACAGAAATCCCTCTAAGGGAGAATCAGGAAGCAAGTTTTTAAGTTTTAAAGCTAACAGCTTGGAGGAAGTGTTAGCCTAGCGGAGTTGACTGGCTACAAATTCTTCAGCTAGCAACCACACACCATAATAAAAGGACAGAAACATTGTGCAACATAGCTCCTGTGACTTGTTTCAGTGACATTAACCAGCCAATAAAAGCTTTTCTTAAATGATTATACAATTTTAAGGCAAAATAACTAGGTTTTAAATAGATCTGTAAAACTGCTTCTGTGCATTTTTTGTATCCCAAACAAAGTCATATATTCAAAGACCAAATGAACAAAAATACTGAAAAATTTGCATTATGTTGCACTTTAAAGTCAATACAAAGTCAACTAAAGAGGAGAGGAGTTGTCTTACAGGTATCTCTGGAGAATCGTCCAATCTGCAGTTGCACAGAAAACAAAGTAAAGTGTGAGTGAATATGAGATAAACACTAAACACAATCAACACAATGAAAGGAGAGTGACCCTACTGTAAAAGTCGAAGAGAGAGTGAAGAGAACCATGCAGCACAGAAGCCCAAGAAGCTGCATTTTGAGGCAGAATCAAGACCAGGACTCAGATAATATTAGTGGAGGGAGAAGTTGCTTAGGTTTAAATAGGCTGCCCCTTTATTAATGTGTGGGACTTTGTACTGTAGCTCCCTTTATTAACAGCAGGCACAGCAGCCTCAGAAATGGTGGACTTGTGCAGGCTAATGTTGGGAGGATAAGGCAACTTAAGGTCACCTACTGGTTGTGTCAATAAAAGACTGTGAAATTATCCTCTGTCTAATCTCAGATAAGACCTGACAGCAAGATACTGTTTATGAAGTTATGGAGTTACAGTGTGTAAATGACAGGCTAGAAAGAACTGTGTAAGTAGGGGTGGACTGATGTTTCCTTCCCTAGAAGTCCTGACGAGATGAAAATACCAAGATCATTTATTTTTATTTAAATTGTATTACATTCAAGCGTATATCTAATTGTAGAAAAAAAAGAAAATTACTATATATTTATGTGACTTTAAATCTCAGTGAAACCAGTTGCCTCATTTTTAAAAGTGAATTCACAAATTAATTTAAAATCTATTAACCTTCTGGAAGTAAACTGTATATATAAAATTACTTGTATACGTGAATATGCATTCTAAACTCAGAAAGATAATGAAATTTAAATACTATTATAATTAATTTTGTATTTCCGTTCTGAAAACTTATTAAGCCAAATATTGTTTTCTTTAAAAATAAGACAACTAAATTGAATCCTAAAGAATGCTACTGTCATGGTAAAGAAGGTACCTTTTTTGCCCATTCTCTCTGCTACTGAAACACACATAATATGGAGTAAATGCTTTATATTGCCAGCTAATAATGCAGTGAGTATTTAGAATGTGTTGTTGATGTATAAAGATATACTGTAGATAGTTAGGTTAGAAAAACCTATATGTTTGCTCTGTGAATGTCAACTCATTTACATTAATAAATTATTGATTAAATAAACCAGATACTGGATGGTTATTGTAAATACTGGCCCTCCTGAGGAAAGCTATGGAAATAATTAACACACATATCAATTATTAATTTGTGTTTATCATAATGTTAGAATGTCTGAACAAACACTTGTTTACTGCAAATCAATAATATTATTTTACTAGTTTCTCCTAGAGTTATCATAGTATTCAAAGTTATTACACACTGGTTTTGAAAAAACATAAAGCGATTTACACGTGATTTTTAAAAGTGTGTGGAAATGTAGAATTGACCAGTGAAGGTGAATTGTATTAATTGTATTAAAACCAAACAACAACTTTTTTTAAATACTTTATTGAGAATTAAAACAAACAAAAGAAATGTAAGAACCTATATGCGGTGTGGGTTGATAAAATACATAGATTTTCACAATGCAATTTTTTTTAAACACATTTGACACATTGTTCATGTAATTTCACTGCAGCTTCTGCTGGATCTCATCAACTCTTCAGCTCTTCAGGACTGGCGACTGGTCGAGGATAAACACTGAAATGAGACACACAAAGGTATTCAGTTACATACTTCTGATACAAATTGGCCTGTCACAATAAGTACATTTTCAACTTATTTTACATTATATAAATATAACTGTAATGATGTCAGTATTGCCCATTGTGTTTATTTGGTGGGAATAGACCATTAGTGTAAATAAGCTGTTGTTTCAAATTTGTCTAAAACTTTAGTTATATTTTATTAATGTTTTTTTTTTTTATCTTACAATTCCAAATGCCTGAAAGTTAATCATTTAAAAGTATTAGGCACTTTAAAAGTAACATGAAAATGTATAATTATGCTATTGTATTGCCATTATATTATAATGGCTGAAATAATAGGATGACTGACTGTTGACTACTTTCATGTTTACTAACAGACACAATGCTAAACATGTTAAACAGTAAAACCAATGTTCAGAAAATCTGTTTATTGTTAGATATACAGTAATAAATTAAGATTGCATAAACATACACAACTGTCAAATAATTTAGGAGAATACAAATGGCAAGATTAATTAAAAAGTTTGTTTTAACAGTTTTAAATAATGTGTTGGTTCCTTATGGTCCAAAATAGCTGTAAACTAAAAAGTTATTCTTCTAAGCATCAATCCAAAGAACAATTCTTGATATATTCATTGAGTGTGATATAAACTACAATAAATACAGTTTATTATAAGTGTAGTGACTGTAGACTTGGTATGAAACTGTTTGTTGCACTAGTAGTGCTTCACATTTGCCCAGACATTAAAGAACAATAACTAGCACTATAATCTTTTCATTTGCACAATTCACAGCAATTTGTACAAAGATCAAATCCATTATCAGTTCATGCATCTGCCTGATTATGTAAGATTATTGCTCAGGTGCCTTGGCTCGTAGACAGGTAAAACCAGATTATTTCCCTTATGGTTTTATCAGTTTACAAGTCAAGACAGGATCCTGTTAGACAATGTAACAAACAGTGTTGCTGCCAGTGGTGCAAACAGTCAAAAACTCACTGCTCTCTTTATTCAGGTTTACTTAAAATCATCTTCATATAAATATAAGGTATGAATATTATTGAATATTTAATATAATATTCATTATAAATTGGCAGAATTGTCAAAATTGCCACACAAGAGCAACTTTACTCATGAATGTCTTAAAATAAACTAAATTCAGATTGTGGAGTAGACTAAGAAAGTCCATATCTGTAGTGAACGGTGATGAAACCCACAGTGGTGACATTAAAACCTTGCAAAACCTTTTTCTTAAAAAATTGCAATTAAAAATTAAAAATGTTTGGTATTTTTTCATTCTCATCAAAAGTTCTCATAAAAAGACAGAAGAGAAAAAAAACAGAAAGAGAAACCACAGATTCAATACATGTTTACACATTCATGCAACCCTGGGAATTGCTGACCTCACCAGCTGTCTGCAAACTGTGGAACCAGTGGTCAGTTTGGTTACTGTGATCATGTCCTCAGCTGGAAATGAGTCCTAGGACTTTCATGTGAGAAACATGTGAATGCATTGTGGCATGATCTGTGTGCTGATGTTGCAAACTCACCTCTTCATAGTTTTACTCCTCTGTTACAATAGGGACTTCACTATTCTTCAAGGGCGTTAAGTCTTTAAAAAAAGATAAATAAGAACAGAAGTGAAACTTTTAATTATGTTCAGTGTTAAATGCTTTGTTAAAAGACTGAATTGGAGTTGTTGTAGACCTACCTTCAAAATCAGCAAAGATTATGAGGTCATCATTTTTTAGGTAATTACGTCTGCGTAGATCAAAGTGTTTGATGAAATTTCTCCATCCCATTGATTCACCTCTGTAGCACTGGCAGGCAGAGTCGTAGGTTCCAACCTTGCTGGATTGTCCCAATACAATTTGTCTTCAGGAGCTGAAAAAAGAAACTTGGGTAATGAGTTTTTTCACAGGATATATACTATTTTCTCATTATACTTATTTTTGCTCTGAAACAGAAAATATCCAGGGGGTCCCTGAGAACCAGTTTAAGAATCCTTACTAATAATAAACAGGACTAATAAACCTTCAAACAGAATATAAAACAGTATATTTTCTTTGTATAGCAAATATCACTTTCTGTTTATGTTTCTAAACCTGTCATGGTTATGACTACCATGTTGCTCAGTATAAGATAACATAGTTTTATTATAATATGAATTGTAAAAAATTGTTTGTTTTTTGTGGATGAGGAATACAACAGAAACAAAGCAAAATATCTAGTCAAACAGAAGAAAATAAGAAGTGCAGACTTAAACCTGTAGATATAGGGCAATTTCCCAGACAAGGATTAGGCCTCTTTTCTATGAACAATCACTAAATTCAAATTGCTGTGTAGTCCAAGACCAGGCTTAATCTTGTCTTGAAATCAGCCCTACAAAATCCACTATATCTATGGAGTGAGGTGTCAAAAGTGTAAACTAGCTCAGGACTAGGCCTAAATTAAATAACAGAACCGTACTTGTTGACAGGTCTGTGGTGAGACTTCGAGCGGAGGACATCCTCAGTTTGATGTCTGGATCCTGGTCCATTACTACTAAAGTGGCCTGGCGGTCCACAGCAGGCCACTGCATGACCATGTCATTCTCTCCGCTGGCCAGATGGAAGTAGAGGCCGGTGTAGTTGCCTGTATAGTCAGTGTAGTTTGCAAGAGGGTACACGCGGATGCCATAGGCGTAACCTTCAGGGCTGTAGAAGGGTGGGCTGTCCAAGAAAGTGTTATGATCAGCTTCCGCCATGATCTGAGAGAAATTCTGGATGCGCCAGACAGCAGAGGGGCAGCGTGTCTCAACCAGACTGATGTCATCTATGAACATACCCCCATTGGAATTACTAGGGTCCCCCTTCACCCCCTGAAACGCATAACGAAATTTCACTCCAACATCCATAGGCACGTGAGCAATTTTCCAGCCTTTATCATCGTCACCTATAGAAAGACAAAACACACTGATTCAGGTTTGGTCATTTACTTTACATGTGCTGAGTTTTCACTTTATACAGTGTGCTTAGCCTTTACTCACACTCACAGAGCATTTCATTAGAGACACCTAAAGTGAATGCTATAAATGTGTAGGTCAAAAGATGCTGACTGTATCTCCCATGTTGATGCAAAATATTTAAAAAATAGCCATCGTCTACCCCTGAAATTGGTGTCAAATAATATTGTGCATATGTTTCTTTTTCTTCATAGCATTCTGCTGTAAAGATGCAGCAGAACATTTATGAACAGTATATTTAGGTATTAAGTGAGAAAATGAATGGAAAATATAAAATACACTGGCAATATAGATATGATATTGATATGATGGTAGAATCTTACCATCATCTACTCAATCTTACCCATCAACACACATAATACACAGTTGTTTTTTTATATTTGAAAACAAAAAAAAATATTTAATACATTCCCTGTCTGGCCATGTCTGATTCTAATAATTATATTAAATTATTTTTAATTTTACATTTGCATCAATGCCCATCATTGCCCATGCTAACTCCTGTCAAAAGCACCTGCCAAAACTGGACCTTGAAGCAATTGCTCTACTTTCTTTTGTATCATATTGGTAAAACATGGTGAGTATTTACTGTTTATTTGTGGGATGTCCTTGGCCAATACGTGCAATTAATTTATTGTATTTACTGTAGATCCACCATTATATACTGTATAATGGACTGTATATACTGTAGATCCACTGTAGATGTACTTGGTGATAGAAAGCACAGGGCACCTTTAGAAGTTTCGTAGCATTAGCTGCTTTGGTGGGACATATTAAACACAATGTTTAATTAGGTCCCCATAGCTTGGCTTATTGGTTTTATATTAAATCTACTTGTATATTAAATTATTACTATATAAAATATAATACAAAATAACAAAAATGCTTCATTTAACGTGATTCCAAACTTGTGATTGATAGTGCAAGTATAAGTGTGTGGAGTAAGATAAGTACCCCAAATTGTGTGCACTTTCTTCAGCTTGCGCACTGTCCCTGTTCCATCATCCATCTTGACCCAGATGACCAGCCTGTCCATTGAGCTGCCAGTCATTTTGTAAAAGAACTGAAGGCACTGGAGCTTTCTTTTAGGGTAAAGTAGCCTGGACTCCAGCATGGCAGACCCCCCTGCTGTTCCAAGCGCAGTATCAAAGTGCATTGTGTATCCTGCATCTGAAAATCAAAAGCTATAAAAATGTTAGCAAAACCAACAAAAATCAGTCAATAAAAATGTACACATTTGCCAGTGACTGATACTGACCCCTACACTGTCCTATAAGAGTGTGGTCTTCAGAGCCAGGGGTGCTCTTGGTGTGAACCCAGTCTTCATCATCCGTGGGACTCTGGATCATGCCGCATATATTGATGTATTCGAAAGTGCACTGATCCAGCAAGGTTAGAGTGGAACCTAAAAAAGATTGTGATGTTCTTTTATTTACACATCATGACTTTTGAAAGTTCATATACTGAAATAATGAGAAGCACTTCTATACTATACAAGCAACTATACAATACAAGACATGACATGTTCAAGTTTTTAGACACTATCTAAACACAGGTTGTATAATCTCTATGTTGTAGTATGACATGCTATGAAGCTGCGCGATTCCAATCATCAACTTGCAGTATATATCCCCATCACTGAGCTCTGTTGTGATGGAATGAATATGAATATGAATATCTTCATACTGTTTTGTGATAGAGTAAGTGTATTGTTTAAAATAAGGGCTTTCAAAGACTCCTTTCATGTTAGTATTCCTGATTTATGGGAAATTAAATAAACAGCACTTACTGCAGTTATACATTTTATTCAGTCTCACAACGTCCTGTTCGCTGAAGTCTAGATACTGCCCGATGATGTTGTAGAACTCTGGGATGTTGGTGGTGATGGTGGGGATGTCGGGGGTCTTTGTTGAAAGAGAATGGCCTGTAGTGCATGACTGACTCATAGTCGTATGGTGTGTTCATATCAGTGACAAAGCTGTCGTCATATTTGTTGAAGTTGTGCTGCAGGCCTGGAAAGGAGAGGAAACAAGGCTATAGATAATTCATTATTGACACTTAACAGGTACTGTAATAAAAGAGCATATAAGCATACCGTCAGTGACTTGATCCAACCAGATCTTCACATAGTCATCTCGATCCTGACGTGACTGCATGTGGTAAAAGCCCAGTGCATGCAGTAATTCATGCTCAACAATAGCCTTATGGTCACAGCGGGTGCCCAAAGATAGTACCTGTCCACTGGGTTGTTTCCCCACACTGGAAAAGCACCTAAATATAACAATGAAATATCTAGTCTGTACAATGCAGCTCAGTATTGAGTACAGTACACTCTCACACATTATTCAGTCTGCTATATCCAACAAACAGGTATATACAGTAGATAAGGATTAAAAATTCAAAAGAATTTAAAACACATACCCGCCTTGTTTCTCAAACTTGATGAATGACTTCTCCCCTTCATAAGGTTTAAAATCAATACAGGACTTCAGCCGATACATTTCAAAAGCTTGAAAGACTGTTCCTTTTGCATTCAGCTCTAAAAGAATAAAATAGAAATCAATAGATATCATTCATTTACAAGAGTGTTAGGGTCATATCAAAAACAATTTTCCTGTCATTTAGGAATTCATTATAGAATCAGATCAAGTTTAGAGACATTAATATGGTCTTAACCTACCAAGGCTGTCAGACAGAATGTAAGGGATAGGGAATGTCCACCTATAAACCTCATTGATCAGAGCATTTCGTCCAGGCTGTCAAAAATAAGACAAACAATCAAAGACTGTAGATAAATATAATGTACTGAAACAGCATTACAATGCATTTTAATTTTAATATATAGCACATATATGGATATTCAGGATTTTAACAAAAACACAGTGAGATAAATTAACTCAGATCCCAGAATAAATTATAGCAAACACAAAGTAAAAGGACATTAAAATACTCTATATACTTACAGGAAGGAGGATATCTCCTTCAATCAAGCGGGCTTGTGCTCCTGTTAAACAAAACATAAACATTTTGGACTTTTCATAAGCCTGTTTCATTACATATGAGAAAAAATGCAGTAATCCTGAACTGTATGGCAATTTTTTTCAAAACATGAACTGAAAGTGCTTTATACGTTTAAAGTTTTATAAAACGTTATTTAAAATGACACATTTCTTACCCAGATTACTGAAAGGATTCTCATTAGGCTCATCTTCAACTTCTGCAAAATTAAACAATAATTCAACGTGTTTCTTATTATTTTATTATATGCAATTTATACACAGATGAAAGATCTAAAATAAATGCACACAGATTTAAGATCGGACTTACCATGCACTCGACCTGATACTGGAAGCTTAAATACAAATGAAAGGAAGTTGAAATAAATGTACTAAATATTACAAAAAAAATATTATTACAGCAAGCACAGAATTTAACAGGGCTGTGGGTACTTACTGCATGGCAGACTGCCCCAGCAGCCAGTCCACTAAAGAAAAGTAGTTCCAGCAAGTACATCCTGAGTGTGAAGCAGTAGGTATTTTGCCAAGACTTAAAAGGTGAAGAGAAAGAACTTTGGTCACACTTATATAAGTTATGGCCCTAGTAGTCCTTGAAGTAATGCCCATCTGAAGATAGTATCATTTTATGACACAGATACACGTGTTTTAACATAATATTTTAGTGTCACCATTGACACCATAATGTGCAGCACAAGGCACTCGAGGGAACTGTTCCAGCTGTCACATTTTAAAGACCTGCACATCTGTCTTTTTTATACAATGCAGTGAACTTCTACACATGTACATGTTTTAAATGCAAGTCTAATAAAGCTAATCTTCTTTTAAGCTTGAAACTGTTTTGTATCTGGTTGTACTCTGAGGAATACATTGGTTAGAATGTAGGCTTAGTACAGTATAAATTTTAAATACATTTTAGATAATACTTGTTGAGTGCATGGCTCCTAAACTGTTACGGTTCCACGTGTGTAAAGAAACAAATGCTTTTGTTAAATGCTTACTATATAATCAAAAGTATGAGGACATTTTTTATTTTATTTGTATTACATATGACTCATGCTCAAGTGAAAAATGAAACTGCAAATTAATTGATTTATTTTCATTTTTGATTTTGTCATAATATTTTTACACAATTGCTAAAAGAGTGCTAAAGTGCTAAACATTATCTGCATTTTTATTTTATTTTATTTTTATTTCAATTGTATTTTTGGCAGGATTTACCTCCCATAGTTATGTAGTTTAGATAAATGCAATAGTAAGTTGAGCATACTATATTAGATTTAGCTACTAAAACAAAATATATCAACAGTTAATAGCTAGTAAATAATAATTACTTGTAACTTTCTGACAGGTAATGTAAGTACTCTGCGTTGATACCACTGCTTATCAAATATTACGCACAGTTATCTTTCACTACTGTCAAATATAGCTGAATGATTAAATGAATACATTGTGTTTTCCTTTCTAACATTTTTTCGTACTTTCTTCAATTTTAATTAAAAAGCTGTTTAATGGGAACTGTGCTGAAGGTGTTAAATGGAAAATGGTGGGTCGTGTCTGACCCCTGTGTGTAAACGTAAACGTAATGTACAAATACTAAAGCTGTGCTTCTTCATGAAGTAAGAGAAATAAATAAAAAATAAGATTTGTGCTAAACAAAGAAAAATACTGTTTACTTGATTATTTTAGATATATCATAGAAACACAGATCATTTTGACCCATGTTGTGTATTAGGAGAGAAGTGATGCAAAAAGGGCTTTTATTCAAAAGTGAAGAAGGAAAAATAAAACAAGGATGTATGGTGAAAAACACGTAAATTGAAAAATACCTTACATACTGAATGATTAAATTAATTCACTGCAAAGACATAAATTAAAATTAAATTAAAACTCTTGACTTTTGACCCATGTTGAGCATGTAAGAGTTAAATGGAAGGTAATTATGATGCTTCTATATTAGAGATAGAAAGATAGATACTTTATTGATCCAGAGAGACATCCTGGGCATCCAGTAGCAGGTATACATAGTACACAGAAGTTACAAAAGAAGGATAAGACAGAATCATACAGAAAAATTCATTAAAATATGAAGTATAAAAATATTTTAGTGTGTGTGTAATAGAGGTAGTGCAGTTAACCACAGTAAAACAACAGTCAGAGTTACCAGGTCCAACAAAAATATTCAGCCCAAAGCCACTCTAAAACCCGCTCTTCAGACACTTAAACGAGACCAATATGTCTGTCACACTTTTAAGGCAAATGGCAAAACAACTATGAGTGTATTTTGTTTATAGGAGATGTATTATCAGTATTGCTATTTAACTTAATAATACTCTATACTGTATGTTTATCCCAGTCAAGAACATTTAATAGTAACATAATTAGTAAAAAGAAAAGACTTGATAATGTCACTCTGTGTCTATTGAATGTGTTTAATGAAAGTAAATCTGGTACTAGGTGTAAAATGTGTTGTTACGGAGTGTTTGTATGAAATGTAAAACCCTGTACAGGACAATATGGACAGATAGTGTGGGTGTGGAGTGATCCAGGCAGGGCCGTGTGGGGAGCTGTTTCTCCGCTCGGTTTGTTTACTGTGGAGGACGCTGCTCTCACCGGAACTATGGAGCGGCGGGGCAGGAGTGGAGGAGACTGGGCTGGGACGAGTTTCAGTCTGACTGCGGCTCCGCTCTATGTCCGCTCCTGCTCTCCGGAGACTGGTACGGGCAGCGCCGCTGAGAGGGGTGTCTGACAGGCCGCTGTGTGGCTCAGGTAATGAGGAGTTTATGAGAGGGACAGAGTGAAGGGTCGGATCCGCGGGGCTGTGTGGAGCTAGCGCCCACAGCTAGGCTAACCGCTCAGTGAAGTTATATCATTCACACACACACACACAGCGCTGTGCTCGATAGAGACGAGCACCTCAGATAACTAGTTACGATAGCTTAGCTGATTAAGTTCAGTTTTATCACCAGTTTTTAGCTTTGCTGGATGTATTTCCTCTCTGACAGTAAGTAGAAGTGTTTCACTGTGTGTTTTAATGTTTAAATACGGTACGTTAAGTTGACTGTGTGGTGAGTTAACGCTAGCTGCTGAAAAAAAAACTGTCCTCTGTGTCAACTTTCGTTTTTAAAAAACAGCTGTCAAAATCTGGTACCATGAGCTAACCTGGTGTTAGCCATGCTAAACCTGGCTCCACTGGTGTGGATTATCGTTTAACACTGTTTAACACAAGTAGTTTAACTAACTAGAGATTAAAGAGCGCTGACCTTTTTTCACACTTAAGACTTTGGAAAACAGCTAACCTGACGCTAGCACACTTTAAACCTAATTTACCTAGATTATTATAGTTAGCAGCTCCATGTAGTTTTATATTTATATAACTAGTGTAACTAGCTAGTAAAGGAGATCAGGCTATATCAGGCTGAAGCTGAACTGCTTAAATATTTGCACCAGGAAGTGGCATAAAGTTATCCAAAAGCAGTGTGTAAGACTGGTGGAGGAGAACATGCCAATATGCATCAAAACTGTGATTAAAACAGTGTTATTTCCCCTAATATTCATTTCTAAACCATTTTAACATTTATTTATTTATTTGGAATTTGGGAGAAATGTTGTCTGTAGTTTACAGTTTATGTTCATTTTTACTCAGATAAATAGCAAAAACAGAGAAATTGATTTAGAAACTGAATTGGTCACTTATTTTTTTCCAGAGCTGTAGCTAGGTGACTCAGTTAACCACAACCAGATCACTTGACTCATGTCGGTTGTGATGATTTAGCTCTTTTTCCTGTAGTAAGTCACATCTCTCTCCCTGTGTGTCTCTGTCTGCCAGACAGGTTTAAAGCGTAAGTGGAACAGCCTGCTGTCTGCTGTAATGGGGAATTCAAGCTGTCACAACGCTTTGGGGATCCCAGCCGCGAAAGGGCCACACCAAGTGGGGTGTACGGATTTAATGGTGGGCCACACAGTACAGGCAAGTGCTTCTTGTAGTGTTTCTGCTGTATGAGTTTTTTCTCTCTTTAGCTGTATTCAGCCAAGGGCATATGACATGTTCAAAGTGTGTATGCCTAAAGGAATATTGTATGAAAACAATAAGAGTAGGGGGCGATGTTTCACAAAGCAGGATAAGAGCTGAGAGGGACATTCCTATTGAACTGTACTCTGTACTACTTAGAAATTTTGTTTGTGAAACCCCCCCTCTAAGCTGTTCACAATGTTGTTTAATATTTTTAAATTATGATTTATTTAATAGATATTCGCATAATGATTGCTTGCTCCCCTACACCCTCCACACACAAACACACACAAAAATCTCCAGTCAGCTCTTTTTCTAACCAGAATTGTATTGATTTGCAGGGAACGTTCTTCAGATTGTACTATCCGTGCCAAACATCTGAGGGTTTTGAGAAGCCAGACTGGGTTCCGTGCAGAGAATACTTTAATGGCCTTGCAGACTTCATGAAAATGAGCAGATCACTGAGTGAACGAATTTTCAACTATCTCTTTGGTAAGAGATAGTTTTCTTCAGACACCAGTCACAATGTTTACACTAATTTTATAATCTAATTAAGTTTTTATTCTGAGCCTGGAATAAAACATAAGTTTTATAGTTGTGTCTATATGTACCTATACTGTCTGTGTACAAGCCAGATGAGTGGGCTAAATGTTTACATGTTAAAAAAAGTCGCACTGGCCCTTAAGTAATAATTGTATGAGGCAGACGTAAGTACTGTTTACTGTTTAATTTCAACATTTTTCTCCACCTAGGGTCTTACAAAATCCCAGCAGCATACAATGCACCTTTTAAACCAGGTGAAAAATACCCAGTAATAATCTTTTCCCATGGACTTGGAGCTTTCAGGTAAATTTAATTTTGAATATTACAGTTTAAAAATGTCTGAACTTTAAGCGACCTGCAGTTTCACATGGAGTGTGTCTGTGTTGTGTTTAACAGGACATTGTATTCAGCCATATGTGCAGAGCTGGCCTCACAGGGCTTTGTTGTTGCCGCGGTGGAACACAGGTTTGTCCTTTTTAACTTGGATTTGGACACAAAAGTCCATCTTACCGGACATGTGCATGACTGAGGTTTGGGGATAAGAGATGATCATTTACTGTAAGCGGACAACAATAGAAAAGTATACCTGATAGACAATCTGGCCAGTGTCAATGAGATGCTGTTTATGTCAAAGTAAGTGTGTGAGAAGTGTGTAGACAATAGTACAAACCAGGTCATCACATTCTTATCAGTATGCTTTGGTGCACTCATGAAAAGCAGGACCTAGGTACAGAGGTCTGGACTGAAAGTGAAAGACATATTGTCACTAATCAGCTAATTACCCAAATTTGCCACATTATTGGATACTTTAATGAAATAAACATAATTTTTAATCTTGTCAGGTATTGATATATCTGACTTATAGAAGCTTTGTGTCAAAACACAAAAGAAAATTAAAGGTTCCTGTGCTTGCTCTACTGCTCATTAATAATGATGGATATTTTTACATAAACACAGTCTATCTGATCAACATAAAAAAAAAAACATTACAAGCCTGTATCAACGACAGTTTTTTTTTTTGTCACACTGCCACAAATTGATAGGCCGGACAAAAAAAATCTACTTCAAAGTATTTTTTTTTTACAGTATTTACTATTGCACAGCATCTTATTAATTTTTGGTGAAACTGAAATGTGACGTAATGTATTAATGTAGTACTCTGCGTTGATACCACTGCTTCATAACCCTCTAACCCTCCCTTATTTTATTTTCTTTTAATGTCAGAGATGAATCAGCATCTGCAACATTCTACTACAAGGAGCAGAGTGAGGCACAAACAAAACCTCCTGGAAAGCGTGAAAACTTCCGGCCTGTGTCCGACAATCTGGAAGAGCAGTGGATGTACTACAGGCCACTAAAAACAGGAGAGCGGGAATTCCCTCTTAGAAACAAGCAAGTGAGAGTCTAACTACACTGTCATTGAGAAAAGTCTCATTTCTAACTGCTGTGCTGTATCTTATTTCCAATCATATATGTTTTAAAGGTGAAACAAAGAGCAGATGAATGCATCCGAGCGTTGGATCTTCTTTTTGACATCAATGCAGGGAAGTCTGTGGAAAATGTCTTGGAATCAGAGTTTGACTTTACAACACTGGAGGTGAGTAACATTGTCTAAATTTAAAATTTGGTTTAGTGTGAGACCATAGAGGAACCACATTTGTTTTTTATAAAGCTCCATGTATATATCAGGTAATGGTGTGAGTGTTCAGGACTATTTAAATGTTAAAAAAAAAAAGCTGCATTCTAAGAGGGAATATGAAAGGATATTTATTACTGTCTTAGATAGGAAATTAATATAACAACTGGAATTGAAAGCAAACATTACACTCTTAAGACTTTACATAAACTAGAATTTTATAGAATTACTTTTTAAACAGCCTACCAAACATCTATCAGCTTATCATCCGTCTTAAATTCAGGAGATAAAAGACTAAAATCTACAATTTGAGTTGGTTGAGTATAAAAGTATCTATGGTTAACTGGCAGTCAATAAGTAGTTGGAGGATGTTTTGTCATAAACATACTCATTACAATGATATTATTGTTTGAGTGAGTGTTGGAAAACAAATGCAAATCTGTGTTCTGTGTGTGTTCTGGCAAGAACTGGCAGGAATACATATTAATGCAGTATCATATAAAGATACTGAACTTTATTTGTAATATGAGCTTAAAATAGTTTTAGCAGCAAGTAAAAAATATTTAACTTGGTACATTAACAACCACCAATCAACAATGAAGGGTATTCTTAGAGTGGTAAGGACCATTTCTGATACAGAGCTGCACACATTTGCATTTTATATAATTAGTTGTTATTATTGATATTAACTTCTAGATGTGTAAATTATATAAAAATTGAATGAAACAAATTGTGCCATGTTGTAAGAGAGCAACATAATAAAGGTCATCTGGAAAAAAAAGCAGTGAAGGAAAAACTAAAACAAAAGTGGCATCAACAACCTCCACAGGTCAGTAGTAAAGGTACAACAGTCTGCTGCTTGAAGACCTTGAGAGCATCTCTGATGTAGCAGCATGGGTTTAGACTGGCATGGTTGCTTCTGGAATGGGCTCACTAAACCTTTTTTAAGGAAACTGCAAAAACAAACTGTCTGATGACTTCTAGAGAAGTGCAATCCAATCAGGTTAGCCTTAATCATGCAGCAAAACAAGGAACCAAAACCAAAAAAACATTTCATCAAGGAGAAAAAAAGGGAGATTTTAGACTAGTCACCAGATCCTAAAACAATGAGCATTCATTTTAGTAGGTAGTTGGTGGGAGGGACGAGAAATATGCAACTAATTGTTAAGATTTATTTATTTTAAGACTTTTTCCTCACAAAAAAACAGATAATCTGCTACCAAATGTGTACATTTAGATGTAATTTTCTTATTCATCGTTTAATCGCATATCAAAATATTTTCAGTGCATAGCCACACACAAACACAAAAGAATCAACTGTGTGTCATTTTAAATGTACATAAACACTTTTTTTATGAACAATCTTAATATTTCAGCTTTGAATATTGTTAAAGTTGTTATGGTAAATTTTAAATGGTGTAGTGATGAAGGCTAATGGGAAAGAACAGTTTAATTCTTGCTAACATTTTCTAAACACTGCCATTTTCTGTCATCACTGATACAGGTTTCATTCATGTTTATGTCCCTTTACAGAATGGTATGGACCTATGTAGAATAGCAATTATGGGTCATTCTTTTGGTGGAGCCACAGTGATCGAGTGTTTGTGCAAGGAAGTCAGATTCAAGTGAGTATCACAACAGTGTTTTAAACATCCATCACAGGTACTTTAAATTACTGCACAAGGATAGTATATTGTTTTAATACCTCTTTCCAAAAGTGGAAGCGCCATTTAACCTTTTGCTGGTAACTCTTTCAAATTAAATTTATCTTTTATATTTGATCTTTTTTCAACTCTGAATCTAATAACACATGTATTTAATTATTGAAATCACGTACTGGTCAATCTCAGGCAGCTTTACAAAGTTTCTAATTCGAAGATGGTTACATTTTTCTCATTCCTGTTTCCAAAACTCATGTGACATTTAAAAACCATGTTTAAAAGCAAGTCCACTAATTCTTTGATTTTCTCTCAAGAAAGTCTTTATTTTAAAGAAATGGTTGACTGCATGTTCAAATAATTAATATTTTTGACAATATAAATCACTATAAATGCATGCACATTGAATTTTTCTAAAATATACAAATCTGTTTTTATCTCAAGAAAACCCAAACCTAAAATTGATCAAATTAATCACCATGCAATTTATTAAACAAATGGTTAAATGAACCAAACAAAATGTTTGTTATGTTTTAAGTAACAGGACTAAAAGTAACAGTAATGAGTTTTTAGTGTAGAATTACCAATACTTGAAAAATAGCTAAATGGCTATGCTAACAGCATGAGGACACAATACACAAAAATTTAGTGATTTTTCCAAAAAATTTTATTAAAAAAATTAAACAAATAATATCTATAAAATTAATTTAGGTAACAGGAAAGAGTGTTCAGAGTGTCCTCCTCAGTTATACTCACAATAGATCAAAATACAGAAAAAACAAATGAAGGAATTTATTTTGTTTTTCCCATGAAAAACCAGCTGATGTAACTTCCTGTTCCATGTTTCAGATGGGGTAATTTGTTACGGTAACAGGAATAAGTGAAACCCTGGGACATAACTAAAATGTGTATTTTAATTTAAATATTATGGATATTTAGGTTGTGGTTAGGATTCTATTAATTATATTTCATGGTAGTTTATAGTAAGAGAGTGGGGACAGGTAACAAATGCAATTTTCCCAGTGTTTTTTTTTTTGCTATATTACTTTTGCAAGTACAACACACTGTGCTTAATAGTAAAATGTATTTTGTATAGTATGTATAGTAAATGTATAGTAAAAAGTTATTTTGTGTCCACGGTTACACATATAATTTCCTGGGGACAGAAATGTGACTGATTCAGCAGAACATGCCATAAGCACACAATTCTACAGAAATAGTCCAGTGAATTCAGATTACACTTTTCCCCTGAAGTAGTTCAGCAGCTAAGGAATGTTTTTAACCTCAAATGTTTAAAAAAAGCACTGCAAACAAATAATAGAAGTAGGATTTTATGGACAGACACTTCAACTCACATGTTTCATGTGATTGGCTGTTTTATGTAAATGTAATAATTTTAAATGCATGTCCACAGGGCTTAATGCTAACTTAGAACATTGAAGCAAGTTAATTACATGTGTTTATTAGGTTTTTATAGTGTTGGATCATCAGATGTAGTTTAGGACAGATACCTATAACTTGGCTTTAAGCATTTAGCTACACTGTGACGTGAGTTCTAGATCATAATCTAAGTTGTGCTGTGCACCAAACCACAAGACCTGGATGTGGGTTCAGTGATGCATGTATGCATGTGTGTGATGTTTTGTATAATCTTGCATTTTCACGCATAAACACATTGATTTGTGGAGCGCAGGTATTTTAAAACAGCATTACAACACAAGTTGTTTTTACTGCAGGTGTGGTGTTGCATTGGATACGTGGATGTTTCCCCTCGACGAGGAAATGTTTCCAGATGTGAAACAGCCCTTGTTCTTCATAAACTCTGAGAAGTTTCAGTGGGCTGGGAATATTATCCGTATGAAGAAGTTGGAGTACTCTGCGTTGATACCACTGCTTG